GTAAACATTTTTGACAGAGGTCTGTCTGGTTAGGGAGAAATTGACAGAGTTTTTGCGGACTCTAACCAAAGTTTTATTTAAAAACACATAAACCCGACGTTTCGGGACCCGCTCGGTCCCTTGGTCACGGGTGACTGTAGGTGGGGGCGCGGTGGGGAAGGTTGCCCAGGTGGTTGGCCTCGCTGAGGCTTAACCCAGAGGGCGCGGTAGAGGGGGCGCGGTATGAAAGGTTGCCCGGGCGTTTGACCTTGCTAAGGCTTACCCCAGAGGGCGCGAAGTCCAGACACGTACGCGCTCGGGAGAGTGCCCTTGCACCGGTTCACGTTCTTACTCGTTGTTTGGATAAACCAGGACTCCAGATGAAGGCGTTTCCTCCAATGTCCCTCGGTGGCCACGATCTGAGTCTCGTCGAGGGAGAAACAGTGCCCCGTTTTTTGCTCGTGCTCTGCCAGGGCGCTGGCCTCAATATCTTTCTTTTTCACGTCGTATTTGTGTCGTCGAATACGATCCGGGAAGTTTTTCGTTTCCCCCACATAAGCGACCGGGCAATCCGCGCACGGCACGCGGTACACGAGGCCTTGAGCCCTTTCCCGTCCTGGTCTGTCTTTGGGGAGAGGAAGCCGCCGACGGATGGTAGACACGGGCTTATGGGAGACGGCGATGCCGTGTTTCCGAAGGACGCGTCCGACGGTCTCACTCACATTTTTCACATAAGGGAGACAGATCCGATTAGACGGTCTCGAGGTCGGAGTCACAGGGGGGCGGCGTAGGCGTTTGTAGATGTCGTTAATGAACCGCTTTGGGTAACCATTGTTAACTAGATCAGCTTTGATCTTCTTAACTTCTTCTCGTAGGGCCTCCTCCGTAGAACACACGGACAGCGCCCGTCGGAAAAGGGCGCTGACCACTGAGGCCTTGTGCGATGTGGGGTGATACGACTCGAAGTCCAGGTATCTACCGGTGTGCGTAGGTTTTCGGTATACCGCGAAGTTGAGCGCGTCAGAAGCTCTCCTGACGCTCACATCCAGAAACGGGAGCACGCCGTCCGTCTCTCGCTCCACCGTGAACTGAATCGACGGTTCAACGGAGTTCAAACACTGGCACAGGCGCTCAACCTCACTGGCTTCGACGATGCAGAAACAATCATCCACATACCGGAGGAAGGTCTTGGGCTTTGGATTAAAGCAGGAAAGAGCTTTTTGTTCGATGTACTCCATCGTGAGATTGGCCATGGTAACGGAGATCGCAGCTCCCATGGCAGTTCCACTCGTTTGCTTGTAGCAGCGTCCATTGAACGAGAAGTATGTGCTCGAGAGACACAGCTCCAGAAGGCGGCAGATTTCGTCCACGGACAGACAGGTTCGTTCTGCTAACCCGGGATCGGCGGAAAGGGCCGTCCTGGCCACAGAAAGTGCCAGGGGCACCGGCACACTCGTGAAGAGTGACACGACGTCAAAGGAAACCAGAGATTCGTCGGCGTTCACCTTTAGTCCTTTGACGAGATCGATGAAGTGACTCGAATCTCGCAAGTATGTGTCCGTGGTGCCAGTAAGGGGGGAGATCAGCTGGTGGAGGTACGCCGAAACTGCACGTAGTGGGGAAGTAGTGAAGTCCACAATGGGGCGGAGGGGGACCTCGGGCTTGTGGATTTTTGGTAGACCGTACAAAGCGGGAGCGGACCCGTTGCGACAAATTAACCTAAGATAAAGGCTGCGTGAATCCGGGTGCTCTTTGAAAATGATAGACAGGGCCCTGTTTATGGTATTCTGGATCTTGCCGGTGGGGTCTTTTTGCAGGGGCGCGTTTCCAGTTCGAGAAACGTGTCGTCCGGTTTTCGTCCTCTCTGCTATTCTCCTCTATCACCGTAATTACTCTCCCTTCCATTTTTAAAACGTTCACAGGTTTTTAGGCACTTAACCCTGCCGTTTTTTTTAAATCTCCAATAGGTGCATAGCAGGTCAAACGCGGCATGCACAAGCTTGTTCTTCTAGAAAGTTTTAGACGACGGCGACGTAAATTATTCGTGGATATTGAAGTTGTGAGCCATACTAATTAAATTCAAATTTTTTGTATTTATTTATCTCTGTTTTCAGAAAGAAGACAGAGAAAAAAGAAACAATGCTGTTGCTAGACGAGCGTTCGCCTCCCCGCAGCAGCACACGGGAGAGCATGTGCATATATGCCATGTTTCAACAAAAATACTTACGACACCTGACAAAAGGAGGGTAGGGATGGCGACGGCGATTAACCCGGAAATTCAAGATCCACAAATTCCATGGACACTCGCTCGCAAACATTGAACGAACACTTTGCCGGGATTGTCTCAACACTTCTATATTCAATTCAGTCAAGCGGCTAAAAAAAAAAAAAAAATAAGAGACAATGTACAGTTTAACATTTTATTCGCTTTGTTGTTCTAGGGTGCGGCACTATCTACGTGTCTACATAGCGAGTCTCACAGGCAACCTCCCTCAACCAAAAGTTGGAAATTGATATCCATACATTTTCGGTTTGCCCAAGAGGCCTTTTAATGCAAGAAAAAGTTGATAATGATACTGAAAAAAACCTTGTACAATATTCCATATAATAAATATGAAGATGTATGAGTATCGTATGCAGTGCTACGTATATTGAGGAGAGCTTTTTTTTTAGCATATGCCTTAGCTTAATGTTTGTGGCGGTCGTAATCTCCCATACTAAGAAGAAATACTCATACTTCGATTAAAAAATAGAATTGTAAAATTTTACTGAATGGTAAAAAAATAGAAAAAAGAATAGTATAGAAAAATAGAACAAAAATAGAATTTAATTGCTCGCCTTGGTGCGAGGCAGGTTGGGTAGCCACCGGGGTGGTCACTGTGCGCGAGAAGTGTCATCTTTTTTGTTTGTTTACGAAGGCGGCTGGCTGCTCGGCGCACCCCCCGTGGCCGATCGGGTTTCAACTGAGGGGCTCGCTGTGGCGCCACGAAGACGGCGACGACGACCACTCTCGGAGTTAAAGGGGTACTCCGCCGTTTTCTTCATAGTCCCCGATTTGCCTAAAAGCTTGCTAGACACACCAACAAACATCGTTGAACTAGTAACCCAAATATTTGGACAAAATAACGTTTTTTCGTGCAGTTACAGAATTTACAATTTTGGACCTCATCGTGTTTTTCAAAGTGAAAAGCTGTACGGGCAACATTGAAAAAGTGACGTCATGGTTGGGTAGGAGTTCACTCTTTGGGCTGTAGACTTTGTTCACATCTGATTACAAACAGTTTCATGATGTCAAATGAATGCTTTGGAAGGTCGCTCCAGCCCCCGCGCAGCAGCACGATACAAATGCTCGGCATAGTTCATATTTAGACTGCCTGCTCGAACTGCTATCCAGCCCAACTGTGACGTCAGGGCAATGAAAAGCGCGGGTATATTCGAATCTTCGTTTTGGCGTCGTTTTCATTTGCCGATTTCACAAAAACTATTCTGAATTTCGCAATACTAAATAGCATACCGAAAAGAGTAACGGACGGCGATTTCGAATATATGGTTAGTTGGGGTTGCTCAAAATATCGCCGGAGTTCCCCTTTAAGGCCCGTTCACACACTTGCAACCGAGTACGACGGAGAGAGACCAGACCGGTTTTTAAGCCTCTTGCGATCTCTTAGGACCAGCTCCGCTGCCGCGCATCCGGTCCTAAGAAGTCGCTGGTCTCTGTCGGTCTTACTCAGTCGCAAGAGTGTGAACGGCGCTTTACGGGGCTGTCACCTCGGGTCCGGTGGGAGACTTGACGAATGTGCCTGTACGCGTTCTGTCGGTCATTGGACGGGGGGCAGCACGTGACTCCAAGGGGTTTCAAACCTATTGCCCGATCGCTTCCCGAGGGCGAAAAGGACCGAAGTTTTGATAGCTCGTGACGGGGCGGGAAGGAGTGATTTTTGCTTGCTTTGAATTACCGTGAAGAAGTTTGATGGAGATGCAAACTTCCCCTACTTTTACATAAAATTGTACAAAGTTTGTAATGTAAACGAATGCCTTGAACTCGGAACCCCCGAAAGCCTCCATCGTTCACCAAACAACCAAGCCGCCAGCCAAGAAGAATAACGACGAAAGTTTACTAGAAGCATAACACAAATTGGGATTATCTGGCGACATTTGTACGTAATATCTACAACTCTTGATAGCGTTTGGTATGTCTGTTGTACCGTTTCGGTCCCATGACATTTATTGATTAAATATGATTAGCAGAACGTTTGCGCTTTCCACTACATCTATACATCGTATTCCAAGAGAAAGAATAGAGGAATAAAAAGAGTTAGTATTTTTTTATCTGAATAATACTGCCTTGGTTTTACTACAATTTATTTGTAAAAAAATTGTTTTCTGTTCAAGTATTTAAAGTTTCCAAGAATTCATTTCCACAAGTTTAAAGCTTATGATTTTCAGTACCTAAAAAATTAGACTGCTGTAATCAGGATAGATGGTGCTAATTTAGTCATCAATATTTGCAATGTCATTGACGTAGAGATTAAAATGATGGGGTCTCAGTATACTTCACTGCGGCATGTCGGCAGTTTGTGGCCTAAGATCCGAATTTTTTTATCTACTTATTACAAATCAGTGGTAGCGACCACAAAGGGTAGCTTCCAATCATATCCTAAGCAGCATTACGAATACCGTAAAGGTACGACGTTTGAAGTAATGTGGCATGATTGATGCAGTCAAACGCCTTCTCAAAATCGACAAATACTCCAAGTGTTTGCAACCTTTCTTTAAATACTGCTTAAATTAAGATATTTTACTTTTAACAAAGCAAGTTTCGTAGAACTACCCCTTTTTGAATTTTTATACAGTAGGCTAGACTCTTGAACACAGATGTTACTAGGGACAGTTTGCTTCTATTTCAACTTTTTTTTTAAATTCAAGGTTAAATAACTTGCACTCATACGAAGACACAAACGGTCTACATCATAAACGCGACTAATAACTATGGTTAGTTTCGATTTTACTGAAAGAAATACCAGAGCAGTTCGGTTGCCATGTTGTTCGAGTGACTGTTTCATCGCCTGGTAAAGGGATATTTCTGGTGAGGACTCCGAAGGGTACGGGGAATAGACGATGCCATTTTCAATCCGGGCCTTGAGTGCCATCCTTTTAAATTCGGGTTATTGGTTTATCTGAAATTAGGTACTTATATTAAGAGCTTTGTAGCTTTTGATAAGAAATAAAATAACCACGTTTCTATGCATCTTTTCAGCAATTACATCTCCAAAATATCCAGGGTAAGGCGAATCGCGAAAAATTAGTCTTTACTGTTGGTACTTGACTGTCATCTGGCACATTTGGAGAAAATTTGTCAAACATGTGCTAAGTTAGGTTGTACCTGGTGTTGCGTTTTTTCTTTTTTTACTTGACTTTTGTAACCCCCAATCCTGCTTGGGCCGCAATTGGCCTGCAGTATTCCTAAATAAATAAATAAATCAACGTTACTAAAACACTCAGTTGGGAAACTGCCATAGAGACCTATCCGAAAAAGTGGCCCCGATCTGTCCTCGAGAACCGAGCTAATGAGGAACACAACGCCGCCAATTCTCCCGCAGCGGCCACTGGAGGAACTGTACGTTACTTCTATTTTGGCTTTAATCGGCCATTTTGGAGCCGAAACAGATACCGCGGAAGAGGTTACAGGGGTGCCACCCCCGTCTCCCCGGCGGACGCTCCGCGACTTACTACCGAAGTTAAAATGCACCTAGGTCGGGACGCGCTACCTGAAAGCACCACTGAGGCATGGTGGTATAAAAACAATATTACTTGTGTCGCAAAACCCTGCAACCTTAAGATTTTAAAAACATCACGCGCCCATCATTTGGTTCTAAACTCCAATAAATTTCATACAAAAAGAGTCTTTTCCGTTGGTTTTTACGCAAAAACATGCTTTGTAAAAGCTCAATGTGACAACAGTACAGACAAATGATAAAGAGTGGTGCTGTTGTCGTATTCAGCTCGGTCTCGGTTGACGCCAGCGGCCCAAGTTTCGACTTCGAGTTTCCAAACTGAGTGTTCTAGTAACGTTGGTTTGGATGATGTGGTTGTTTGGTTTTCATATCAGAACTTTGTGTTCAAATAGCTTTGCACAATATTAAATCAGCCTAGGGCTGGAGAAGGCGCCAATCCAGATTGACTGTGTTATTGGGGCTTGCACATCTTAGAGAAATGTGAAATTTTTTCAGTACACGCCGCGCCCGTACCAACCATTGTCTCGTCCACGCGCTCCAAGCAAGCATTTGATATTGCTCGTAACTACTATTAGGAAGGCACAGAGGTAGTAATTACGATTTACAGAAATACTGATTCGCAATTTGCTTATATATGTCATAAAAGTATAAATTGCAAAATCCCTAAATTTTACACGAATATTGAATAAAATATGCAGTCACAACAAAAATTGAACTATTTATTAAAACATGCATAATAACTAATGTGCGAATTACTAAGCAGCTACCCAACTCTATGCAGGTAACGGAAGAAAAGAGCTGCTCATTCTAAAATTTACGCTGGGAAGCGAATTAATATGTTATTGAATCAATATAATCAAGGAGCACGTTTGAAATCTCTGGGATATTATATGCTACCAACCAAGAAGCACAAATAGTTATTAGGTGGGACTCTTTGTAAGGTTTATATAGCTGATAATATCAAGTTCGTTTAAGCAGGATATTTAAAAATTTGCGATTTGATGCATTTTATGGGTATTTTATATTCTGATGAAAAACTTAAAATAAAAGATTTAAAAATATAAAAGATGCAGTACTTTGAGAAACACGGTACTGGCTCACGAGTCAGAAGAATGTATTGTATTTGTTTTAAGAATATAGGTTATTTGTACTGTTTTAAATATGATGGAATATTGGAAATATGTAATATAATACTGAATCCCAATTTGGGTTTTAATATTGGAAAGCTACTGACCAAGCTCTAGTTGATATAAAAAAAGGAAATATAAAGACTTAATTTAACATATATAATACTTGCTAGATTACCTGTAAAAAAATAAACCTCAGAAAGGTGTTTGCCACAGTGCATACCATTTATTTCAAACGAACTCGAGCTTCAAAGAAATTGTAAGCAACATCTTAGAGTTGAAAACCTGCTAATGAACAAATTTCATTCAAACAGGGCACATGCATTCATTATTGCTCGACTGCTATTATTATGAAACGTACTGTACAAAATTAAGACATTTATAATTTTCAAATTAAAATTTGATTAATACTGTCCTTCAATAAGAGCAACAAATATGGTAGGAGTGAATTTAATATTTAACTCAACTTTATTAATTGTTATTGTATTATTGTAGTTTGGGCAGGTGTTAATATCGAAAACGTCTAGCTGGGCATACAGTGAGGCTGCTTAGAATTTTAAAAATTTTGAATCGAGCGCGCTATTTGATATATGTATCGAAAGAAGTGTCACTCAATCCTGGTACCTATGCATTCAAATCCACGAAGATCAGTGGAAGAACTCTCTTTGCAGTGAGGCCGGTCAATGAGCATAAAAATCCTATGGCAACAGCAAAGAGCTAAAAGTTCCTCTTCTGCTCTCGGCTGGCGACAAGAAGGACGTGCTGGACAAACGAATAGCACTACACTCGCAGAAAATAAAATGTATAATCATACACCCCTTGTCCGATATACGACACCCCAGAACTTCAGCTCGATGTAAAGCCCTATGGGCCCTGAGGGTATTGAAGTAAATAAATAAATAAATAAAGCGCACTGGCGTTTAACCGACGGTACCAACGCTCACTAGCGGCTTGATAGCCGAATGGTACAACTTAATCAAAAAAGCTAATGTATTTGTTACTGATTACAAAAAAAGTAATCGTTTTTTTTCTTCTTTTTGCAGTTCTGCAAAACCTCAGTGTTTTTTATGTAGCCTCTGATACATACTTCAGCTGTTAAATGAGGTATATATCACCGTTCTCAAGCCCCTCGAGAAAGTTGGGTTTGACGCCAGCGCGCTGTACGTCGAACTGAAGTTTTGGGGTGTCGTATATATAACAAGAGGTGTTAGAATATACCGTTTTTCTTCTGAGAGTATAGGACTAGGTGAAAATACATTTTAAAGATTATTTATCTGACTCCTGATAAAATTCATGCACACAGTCTCAACGTTCTAAAACATGCCACATTCTGGTAGAACCTCAATATGGAATACTCACGTATGAAAGTAACAGGAGTACTGCATTCAATATCACGTACAAAATGACAACTGAAACGCAGCAGCACCAGAGGCCAGGGACGAACTAATGCACCGAAGCCTAAAAACCTGTTCAAAGCGTGAATAAAAATAAAGAAAGCGGAAACAGGTGTTTTCTCTGCTGCCATTGCTGCAGTGCGAATAATTGGTGGGGCGTGTGCGATTATCTTTCGAACTCTCGATCCTTGCTTACGTGGCTTCGCGGATTTGATTCTGTGATATGTAAATGCCTGAAGGACCATAACATTCAGCGTTACGCAATATATTCTTCTATAGTAAACAGGAAAAATAAACAACACGCGTAAGCAGGCGATCTTTTTCTTGCTACTGCTTTTAAGCGATTAATTATGAAGATGTTCGGAACAAAGTCCCTGTGATATCGAGCCTTTCGTAGTGCTCTCTCGTTTAAGTTGATGCAATACAAATTATTGTGAAAGTATCCAGGAATTCGGCCGCCGTAAAGTGTTTTGGGGACGGGATATGGTGGTTCTATACGGTGCCTAGATTTACATTGTGATAATGCCTCTTTGGCTACTGTCGGTCTGAAAGGAAGATGCGACGATAGGAACAGCGAGAGCGGTTTCGGGATCCAAACCTACGCAGAGGAGCGTATATTCTAAGTCTTTAGGGAAGCGCAGTCCTAAAGAAATTGGCTTCTAGTGGTCCTAGGGCTACGTGAAACATGTGCTCACTAAATTCCTTCAACAAGTGGTAGAGAGTTTGTCGAGGTAGGGAGCAGCAAACAGATTACTAAACTAATATATTCTGCTCCGCTTATTTGCACCAGACTGCGCGCGTGCAGCATCAAAACCTTCCCTAGCGGTGGCTACAACCCGCATCCGAGGGAACGCCTGCGCATCGCGCTGTTGACGCTGTAGGGCTTCCGTGCTGTTTCGAGGAAGAGGCCTGACGCCGATGCACCCAGTCACAACATTTCCCAAGAAAGAGGAAACATCTGTTTTAACTGTCTTGAAGTCTGTCCACGATGAGAGATAGCGGCAGCCATCTCTCATGGCGAACTTTTTCGAGCAGCAGGCACACACTTGAACGTTGTTTGCGAACTAGAATAAAAGGAAAGCTGAAAGAGGCCCTAAACCACTTTCTGCGATTTTCTGTTTAAGGTCATGACTCAGCTTTTATGTTCTTTTTATTATAATAAACCAAGCATTACTTTCATGGCTGGCCAACTTTTAGAGTGCAGCTCTAAGGCGCCCATTTCGGGGCTGAGCGGCGTCGCCGTCGCCGTCGGCGTAACCGCGCGTTGCATTATGTGATGTTCCCATAATGACATCACATGTGACGTCACGTGTGACGTCACGAGGGTCACGAGTAACGTCATGAGGGTCACTAGGGTCACGAGTGACACCACCAGTGACGTCACAAAGTCCACTCGTGAAGTTCACGACAAAGGTTCCTTCAGGAGTATGTCATGAGTGACGTCGCGAGCGAGGAGGGAGGAAGGTGAGGGGGCGGAGGAACGTAGGAGAGGGGAAGGAGAATGACAGGCGGAAGAAGGGAGGACAATGACAAGAGGAGGAGGGAGGAGGATGGTGGAGGAGGGGGAGAGGGAGGGGGATGGGGAGGGGAGGGGAAGGGGAGGGGGAGAGAGTACGGAGGTGGAGGTGGAGCATACCCTCCTTTCCGTACATTACCCTCCTCCTCCTCAATACCTGCGCTCTAATTCGGCATTACAGGGAATTGTAAACGTCTTTAATTATTTTTATTTAAAATTGGTGTGAAAGACCGATTTCCTAGGAACTATTGCAGACATCAAAGGACCGACAGCCGAAAAGCTTTTCTCCTAGTCCGACGCCCCCCCCCCCCCCCCCCCCCCCCTCCCCCGTCCCCTCCTGGTGGCATCATTAAGTACTATTACTGGTAGTAAAGATAA